GAGAGAGAGAGAGAGAGAGAGAGAGAGAGAGAGAGAGAGAGAGAGAGAGAGAGAGAGAGAGAGAGAGAGAGGCAGGCCATCCAGCTGGCTGGCTGGTCATCTAACTGATCAACGAACCGTCAGCCAGTCAATCAGACACAGACAGGCGGGTGGATGGACAAGTGACAGAGCGACCAACTGATAGACAGACATACAGTCAGTCAATCGGTTTGACTCGGTCGATCAGTGAGACACGATGGACGGATGGACCGACCGAGTGGCCAATTGACTGTCTGACAGCCCAAAAGGTGTCAGATGGAGAACCGAACGGACAGACGTCTTTTGGACAACTGGGCATACGGACATACAGACAGGCAGACGGCTGCACAGACGAACTGATGGGTGAACAGACAGGCAGGCAGATTGTCACAGAGACCGAGAGAATGAGTCAGAAATAGAGATAGCCAGAGACAGTGACAGAGACAGACGGATGCTCGTGTAACTCTCGTAGTTTTCTGGGCAAGAAGGTTCTGTAAGAATGGCCATGAGTGAGGTCAGGCCCTCCTCTGAGCATGATGAGTGAGGCCAGCCCCCTCCTCATGAGGTGGTAAGCCTGATGACAGCTGATGAGTTGAGGAGATCATGAAGAGGTCAAGGAGTGTAGATAGGTATCACTTGTCAATGAGTGGTAGACTGCTAAGGCACAGCTTTGTACATGGTATAACTGACCTTTGTCTGATGTGAAGCCTTGCTTTTGAATCTTGAGAGATCAAAAAACAACACATGAGTAGCACTACTTAGGTCGCCTTTGTCTTGGTGTGCACCTGTCCCTTTCTGCAGGATCTGCTCTTGTGTGCTGTTGTCAGATCTTGCCGATTTCCCTGTTCCTTTGTCTGAACGAGACTCCTGAATTACAGGGATCGCGGAGACCTTGTCTTTTTCGCGGATTTTGAGCCCAAGTGCAAGTGCAGGTACCTCTGGTTTGGCACGAGCTGCTGCTGCTTCTGAAAACTCTTCAGCAACTTTGTCCGAAGTTGTGCCCAGCTGAACATAATTCTGTGGATTGGTCAACAGGCTCTTCCCGAGCGCCAAGATGGACAAGCTGTGTGGGGAATGGAAAAGCTGTGGTACTTTTGATCCAGGAACAGCAGCAAAACCAGTGATTGGACCTGGTTCAATCGTGCCGATGGATGCTAGTCTCTCAGTATCCACCACCTCCATGTAGGAGTTATCCTTGAACAGAACTGCCTGCAGAAGGTTCCACAGAGCATTCCGGGACGAGTCACAGAAGATTCCTCATCATATGAGCAGGAGCATCCAGAAGTTAGGGAAGGAAAAAAAAAAAAAAAGGGGAAGAAGAAAAGAGAGCATCTACCACACCCATGAACTGTTGAAATACAGACGAGTCCAGATACCACCAGATGACCAGAATATATATATATATATCGTATATATATATATATCTATTTGTGACGATATATATATATATATATATCTTCTCTCTCTCTGCCTACGGTTTACCGGGCAGTTCTGTTTGTGACGATATATATATATATATATATATAAACTCCGACGAAACAGTTTGTCACAGCCCCTCGTTTGTTGTCCTCTTCTCTCTCTCTGCCTACGGTTTTATCGGGCAGTTCTGTTTGTGACTATATATATATATATCGTCAAATAGAACTGCCCGGTAAACCATAGGCAGAGAGGGAGAAGAGGACAACAAACGAGGGGCTGTGACAAACTGTTTCGTCGGAGTTTCACCGACTCATCAATTTATATATATATATATATATATCACAAACAGAACTGCCCGGTAAACCGTAGGCAGAGAGAGAGAAGATATATATATATATATATATTTTTGAAGAAACGCCCCTACCTGTGATAGCGGTGCTGTTATGAGCAGACACCACTAGCACCTGGGGGGTGGCTCCATCTATCGGTGGGGAGCATCACCTGCTGGAAAGCGGGTCCAGCGTCCCTTACATGAAATAAATTTGAACCATAACAGAAATAATGAGTAACAATTGTGAAAGGTTCCTGCCAGCATTGATTGCCCTGGGAATGATTGCCCTGGGATTCAGGGGATTGACTGAGCAGGTTAGAGGATAGAGGGGGGAATCTCTTCACCTTGATCCAGGTGCCAGATTCTGCTATTTCCTGCTAATTCCTCCTTCTCCCTCCATCCCCAACCCCAACCGTACAGTCTCCCCTTTAAAACAGATAATTAAAATGAGCCAGCCTGCCTCTTCAGCTGATTGGGGGCTGCCAGATATAACCATACCTTTGCCTATGCACAGTGAATAATTACAACCATAATTGGAAAAAAAAATTGATATAGACCCTGGAAGCTTCGAAATCTAGCCATCTCCCAAAGCATACCATTGAACATGAACCATTGCCAATTCCGAGGGAGGGAAGGGGTCAAGAAAACAATCTGGGGATCTGAGTGTGACTCCTGGTTGAAGTGTAACCCAATCTCTGAAGATCAGGTGGAAGTCCCGCTTAAAAGGTTCCTCCTGCACTTCACCTCCTGGCCATTTCACTTCTCCCGAGCTTCCTCCTTCAGCACCCCCCAGCCAGTCAAGATTGAATTTTTGAATATTACTAGGAATATCCTTTTTTTTGACGGAAATGTTTTATCTCATCACAGACAGTTTTCCAACGCTCCCGTATTTCCGTCTGTACAAATTGGACAATCAACTCAGCAATTTCTGATCCTTCCAACTTTACATCCTCCCTTTCATGGACACACCTTTTGTACCATATTACCCACAGAATGGCTTTCCGGCCAATTTCAAAAAAAAATCTCTGAAACTCTGAAAGTTGTATGGGGCTCGTTCGACACTCCTCGGGCATGTAAAGTCCCCGAGGAATTGTTTGTTCCACCTATCCTCGGGGATGCAGTCGGAAAAAAAAAAGTGAAAACACTCTGAAGGAAATTCCTTGGGCTCCGAGGATTCCCCAACCATTTCTTCCTTTTGCGCAAGGGACCCCGTGAGGTCCCTTGGGCAAAAGGAATCCGCGTTTCACGGAGAGGAGCGGGTACATGGGTAGAGAGACGTTACAACCGAGAATTTGGATCGTGGCGAAGGCCTCAGACACATTTGATTTTTTTTTTTTCTTGTCTGACATCGTTCGAAGGAAATGTCCTCGGGCGACGTTCCCAAGGACAGGTGGAACGATGGCGGGAATTTCCTTGAAAACCCCCAAGGAAACTTCCTTCGGCCCCGAGGACGCCCCAAGGAGTGTCGAACGAGGCCCTATATCATTCGGTTCCCAATGACCTAGAAGAATGACTCTCCAATCCCATGGCCAGTCAATTCCCGTTAAACCTCTCCACACACAGTCCCATCTTCTCCATCACAATACCGTACCTGGACATTGCATGAACAAGTGTTCAATGGTCTCCCTGATCTTCTTATTAGGAAAGACAGATAGGCATGATTTACACCATGGGAGTGTCAAACCTCGTTGTTCCAAGGTAGTATGGTCTATCAACCAGTCATTAGTAGGCAGGCATCTATGTAGTATTTGCCACTGCAGAGAGGAGAACTTCGCTGGTCTCTGTTTTAGCTTATTGAAAAATTTTATATTTCGGAATTTATGAGCATCAATATTCAGATGTCTAACCCACCAGTCTCTTATTATGGACGTCACATCCACCCTTGGTCTTAATAATCGGTATATTGACTGAGAGGGATCGCAAGATGAGTGACTTACCTTTCATCCCAGTTTACCATACCCATTCAGCTGGGTCCAAAGGAATATCCGAAATCGGGCATTGTGGTTGAAAGACTCTCCATCCTTTAATTGCAGAGATGAAAAGAACTCTAATCATGAAGATTTCTTTACAGGGAAAAAAATTTACTTGGTTGGCCAATGAGGGAAGGAGGAGGTGATTTGTGGTTATTCTAAAGAGAGCAACCAAAACTCCTTCCTCCACCAGACTCATTATTTGACCCACCTGCCAACATTCCGGATCATGCACAACCATAACTCAATCCTCTTCTTGTAGTCTTACTCCTTTCTTTAGCACCCTCACCCAACCTAGAGGAATGGAGCAAATAATCTGGTCGAGGTTTTAGGGTAGCCTGTAGGCATATGAAATTTTCTTCTTAAGTTGAGTAGGTGTCATCCAACCTTCTTTTTCCTGGTCCCAAATATCCTTGACCCTTAATACCCCTTTTTTCACCCATTGAGACCAAGGAGATTGAGAACTATTGTAAACACAACCATTATTGTCAGTTATCCATCTATTCCCGAACAAAGGCTGCCTCAAAATCTCCTCAAATCGTGAGGGAAAATGTTTAATTGGTAAGGGCGGTCTACGCCACGTTTTTAGTAGAAAAACTCATAGGTTATCTAGGAGAAGATCAACTCGGGCTGCTCCTCTCTCCCCTTCTTCCTTTGAATGTGCACTAAGGCGAAGAATGTTTCAAAATCTATCCTCCACCCAAGTGAGGGGGTGGACCTCTGAAGGAGCTCTCGGTGCCAATCTTCTTATTTGTTATAGTGTCATTGGCTGCCAAGGCTTGTCAATACCAAGAACGAGATCTATTATCCATTGTAGGGACAAAGCTTGAGTTTGCAGAGTTTGATCAATAATCATCACCCCCCTCCTGGACTTAGGTTGAATCAACGCCAACCATGCCACTCTGGGAATTACTCTTTGTTGTTCATGATCTCCCCTCCACAGAAAAGCCGACACTTGTTTTTGAAGTTGTTTAAAACGTAATTTGTTAATTGCCCATAGTGCCGATTTATACCATATTGAGGCTAACACTACATTATTTATCACTACTGATATGCCAAAAAGAGAGGTGTGCAATCTTTTCCATTGATTCATTTTTTCTATAGCAGGTTTGAAAATTCACTCATCATTGGAAACAGGTTTGCCAAAAGCAGAAAGAGACACCCCCTGAATTCTCAGTGGGGCCTCCAGGGTAACCATTGCACCCAGGGGGACTCGGGTGAACGATCTCCATTAGAGTGGATCCACTGCCTTTGAGTTTTATTTCCCCAATTGACTATCATATTTGAGACAACCGTGAATTTGTCCAGCATATTCTTGATTTCCTCCATATTTTCAGTTGAGGCTTCCATCATGATGGTCAGATCATCTGCGACCATGGAGGCTATAGGAATCGCTTCCTCAGGTATACCAGAGATATGAAGGCGTTTAATGTTGTGATTAACTCTAAGATTGACCCCAGAGCTTCCATCACAATTAAGAAAAGAAAACGGGTCAACGGATCCCCTTGTCTAACTAACCTCTAAAGATGTATTTCTAGTGACAGCAGACCGTTAACAAGAATACGTGTAGTAGTATTTATATGCAAAATTTTAACCCATCTTCTCATATTAGGGCAAAAATTTAACTTTTGCAAACAAGCATCCAAGAATCTCCAATCAACATGGTCATAGGCCTTTTCAAAATCTATAAAAACAAAAGTTGCATTACTTTTGGATTGGCGTGAGAGTTTGATTACTTCGTTAATTAAGAGAATATTATCCTGTGTATGTCTCCCATGTATGAATCATGTTTGGTTCTACATTACATGGGGCCGATAGTTCAACGGTCATATCTCAAGGTCGTGATCCTTTTAAATTAAAAAAACGAATGAAAAGAAGAAAGAACTCAAAAGAGAGCATCTCAGCATCCTGTCACATTTATTTTTTTCAAAAGCGGATAAGAAATAAAATCAAGTATTCCCAACTTTTTTTTTTTTTTTTTTTTTTTTAAGCACCACTACCTATCCCACTGATGGGAAAATGGGAAAATATCATACTCCAAAAAAGTTGGAGGTCGGGCCCGACGACAGCCGTCATTGATAAATATCATCGGCGACCATCGTTTCGTTTCAGCCTCCTAAAAAGCTTCCGGGGCTTGACTACAACCCACATGGGAAAAGGTATTAATGAAAATAAGAAAAAATAAAACGAGAATGAAATTATTGCGTGGGCGAGCCAGTTTTTGACACCGCCATCTTTGGCGATTTTTCATTTTTTTTTGGCTTTGTCAAATGCCATGAAATTTTATACATACGTATATTACATAATAGAGAACGTACAAATAAAGTTTGAAAAAATAATAATTTTTTTCAGGCCYCGAAATAAAGGGAAAACAAAAAGTGAAAAGAGAAAAAAAACAAATTAGTAAGTGGGAAAGCAAGTGTTGACACCACCATCTTTGCCGATTTTTCATTATTTTTTGGACCCGCAGAATGAGTTCAAAATTGAGA